CTCTTCATACCACAACCAAATTGTATTGTCAAGACTGTAACGTATCTACAAACCAGTAATAAGTAGTTTAATGGCCAAGTAGCATTGAGAGGAACAGTAGGATAGTAAGGGATGTAATTTGATTGAAGGTACTATCAAATTCAAAAACTGTCGCGATTAGACCTTTGACTYCTGGGAATTTTGAGAAAAATAGGGCATTTTTGAGATTAAAAGATTTCAAATGTCACATTGGCTGTTTTGTAATACTGAAGGTTCATTTTTCAATGGATGCGCTTGAAAATATATTATTGGGATATAATACTTTTTAGGTCGGATTTGGTGTAAATGGTCGATTCCGCAAGCTTCTATTCACTAGTCAAGACCGTCTAAAGGCAAATTTATTCTTGGACCTGACACAGTATTTTTTGGAAGTTTTGTCTATCGAAAAACACACCCAGCTCTAAATTTGAGCAAAATTCCGAGAAGAATCTCAAATRTCTATTTGAGAATGGAGGGGAACGCTCTTCAATTCCGCCGAGAGCGGTTTTTCCCATAATTCATTGTGAGCGAAAATACGGTTAGAACACGTTTTCTGAAACAGGGTTCAAAGAGAAATTAGTACCAAAACAGATTTTTTTTTCTTCACCAAAAGATTTTGCACCCAAATGAATAGCTAGTCCACCTTGGTTTAGCATCAAAAAAAGAGCAATTTCTAGGACTTACGTTGATACCAAATTTGCCACAAAGTGTAGTCGCTTCATAAAGAAACGATTTCTTTAAAAGATAACGTTTCTTACGGGCGGTTTCGGGCGTGGGAGTCAATATTGGGTAATCGAAATAATTTGAGAYGTTTAGCATYATGTTCACGGTAAACGGCAAACGGCAGAAAATATCACGTGATCTGCTTTTTTTGAGTTTAACGTTGCAGTTTCAACGCAAGAGCGGGATATTTTGAGGTTGCCATAATCGTGAAAAGCCGCTCTTTCAAATGACTACCAAAAGCACAAGGTCGGGCACGAAATTCTTGGGTCATTGGTTCAGCTCTGCCGTTAGCCGTTTGCCGTCAACGTGATGCTAAAACTCTCTAAATGTATGTGACAACGTCACTAGCACAGTTTATCACACTCTGACCTCATTTTAAAGTATTCTTCAGAGAGATTTTTAAACATGTAACAATATATTTATCATATAATTATACATMAAAGCCAATGATGTTTAAAACAATTTTTACTCCTAGTCCAATGTATATGACAAAAACCTTTTTCAGAGAGCGTTAAGGATAGTTTWTTTAAGTCGAATAATATACGAAAAACAGACACTTTTTTAGCTCATTAATAAAGAATCACCTTATAGCCCTTGACGTATTGGGCATATTGCACTCCCCTTCCTTGCGTGACAACACCAGTAACAAGCATTGTGTGACCCAGATCAAACTGAAGCCATTGGTTGACATCCATAACTTCTGCACTCCATGATAGAACTCTTCCCATCTGGTTATTAAGCCTTCCATTGTATGATTCATGTTCACTTAATTGAGATGAGGCTGTTATCTGACTGTTTAGAACTTCTCTATCCTCAATTCCGAGGTCGCCAGGGAAATCTGAAATGAGACCCGCATACAATTAAACTGTATTAACATACACTGGAAAAAATCGCGCGTGCTAAAGGTTGTAAACTTGATTTAAATATGATGTAAGTGTCCAAAATTCTGTAAATTTGATGTAAATGATTTCCATTAAATTTACAGAATTTTGGACACTTACATCATATTTACATCAAATTTACAACCTTTAAAGCGCGCGATTTTTTCCAGTGATATGTTGATACAAATCACGGTATATTGAGCTGCTCTGCTTTTTTCTGTCATTTTTTGTCGGTTTGATAGCCTTCTTGTTACTATTATCTTTTAACTTTTCCATAAATTTAKATTGCATAAGCACTGTAAGAATGAGAAGATAATAACTGCCCCTCGTCTAGAGATGAAACCGAAAGTGATAAATCACAACTAATGACTGAACTGAATATGAGGGCCGCATGGCACTATGATAGAACGATATAGAAAGAAAGTTATAGTGCTTAGAATTCCGGGAGAAAGACCCTAAGGAATGAATTCGGAAAAATTAATTTCTGGCCTCGATGGGATTCGAACCCACGACCTTCGGYTTTAGTACTACCGATGCTCTACCAGCTGAACTACAAGGCCAGACTGGGAGCAGGTTGGGGTGAAATAGATGTTAGGTTGCGGTAATAGAATAATGTAAAGATATGAATATGAGGACCYCATGGCACTATGATAAACACGATATAGAAATGAAAGAAAGTTATAGTGCTTAGAAGGAGGAAATTATTGATACCCACCTCTTCCATAGGAGTACACCTCAGCTCTCATAGAGATATGTCCATTCCACGTGTTGGGATGAAACCTCACGAAGCGAGTGCGGATAACTGGTGAGAAGTCATGTCTTACTATTGTCTCTGAATCTGAATTACCTGTGAAGATCTAGTAGAATACATTTCACACCAATTCATTCAGAAGCAAAAAATAAGTAAAAATTATTCCACACTTGTGTAATTCTCGCGCGCTGATTGGCAATAAGAGGACATGCGCAATGCGCTGACACCATCACTCCTCCCGCGCGWGCTCAATTGAAAAATAAAAAATAAAGAATGATTTTCGCAATTTTCTATGCTTAAATGTGATAAAAAAATACAAAAAAAAGCTGCGCTTGTGTCTCCAATTGAGTTTTGAGGAATAGAGGGATATGCAACTCAAAACCATGCACAAATTGTTATTTATACAAATTGGAAAAATCTCGCTGGGCTCGTGGGTCCACTTGAGTTTTGAACATTTTATGACGTCAAGAGTGTGTCAATAAGAGGACATAATGTTAAATATTACTGATATAGTTTTGGATGTACCTTCCTAGCTTGGTTTATCTTGTACTCTAGAAAAGTCGATCCATCGGTACTATATGACAGCCAATAACTAGTCACCCACTGAGCAAGGCGATGGCGTCCTTGTGTTGCAATTGCCGACAAAAKTTCCATTGTACTCAAATGTATTTTTAACCACTGATTTTTATCATTAAACCTTGAAATCCAGGATTGCCRCWSTCCTCTCCAGGTCCAATACAATCMTCCATRAAATGCATTGAAMGTATCCCAGTTACTGGATSCCGTTATGGCACTGTTTGGTATGTCTCCACTCATCATTCCCAGTCCTCGGTGGGGAGCTGAAATAAAAATAACAAATATCACAATAGACCTCTGAACCTTTTACGTCACTACTGTGATTTCTAATGCATTGTGGGATCAGTTTCTAAATAAAACAAAAGAAATCCGCCATGTTCTGTCCCAAACATATCCTAAAATGCATTGCGTATACGGTGTATGACGTAAACGCTTTAGAGGTCTATTGGACACTGACTACGTTGAGAGGATTCCAATTGGCCATTCCTAAATTCAAAAGGAGACTGGTAACCAGTGTGAAAATAGTCTATTCATCGAAAACTGAACCGATGAAAAACAACACTACAATATTAGTTCTCTTTTCAAGTTTGATACTATTTAGTTGAATACAAACCGAGTAGCTTTTCAAATTTGTAAAAATAATTAAAGAGAATGTGTGGTTTTTGCATATCAAACTTAATGGTGAAAAAAGGCCGTGATCACTCAAGCGTAATTTTTGAAGATTTTTTGAAGAAATGCAATGATATTAGAGACAATCCTAAAAACCTACCATCGAATCTAAGAAATAATATATATATGTGACCTTTCTGTGTATTCTTCGTGAGAAAATTTGAAAATACAAGTATGTATTTTCGCCTTTGAAGAGTTGGAGTTGAGCATCAAAATAGCCAGGCGATCACAGGTAGCCCAAGCAAGCTAGGCATTTGTGTACTTTTTAGGAATATTCAAAATATAACAAAAATAAACATCTCTACCTGTGTATTGTGTTTTTCTGTTAAGTTTCAGGCCATTTCCTTCAATTTTGAGCGATTTATGCCTGTGGTTTTGATTATTCTTATGAAGGCTACTGAAGTAAAAGCTATTGCTGAAGAGATCCAGGGTTTCAGAGAGCAAAATCCGAGATATTTTTTTAAAGCTTTTTGCTTTTCTAATGACCGATAAATGCCGTYTTTGTGCTCTTTTTCGGCCTCTTCATTTATAAAATATCAAAAGATCTAATAAAATGTAAATATAAATATAAAACATCAGAAAACTTTCTCTTCTAATCAAACATACTTGCTCCACACCCAAAGAGCTGAATCCTTGCACACACGTGATTGTACCAGGTGTCTGGAGAGATGCGGACATAGCGAGCAGGGAAGATATTCTTGAAAACTTGCTTGGTAATATCTCCTGKATTCGAGTTTCCTTTGAACTAAAATTGATGGATACAAGGTATCAGGAGGGTATGCGGACACAATACTCCAGTTTCGAGATCTTATTTGTGCACCCTTAACCTCGAAAGCATATAATATATAGAGGATATTACATGGGCGCGCGGAGATACGGATTTCATCTTCGAGCATTGAAAAGATCTCTCACGGGTGAGCGCAGTGAACGATTTTCAACTCGAGAAGATTTAAGTTCGTATGTCCAAGCGACCATGTCATATTGTTTTGTGTTGTATATTTGTACAGAACAACACAAGATATCGGTACTGGAAATAGCCTGCTAACAGGCGTTCCTGCTGGGGGCCGAGAGAGAATCCTGTCCTCCCCATTCTCTCTCGGCCCCCAGCAGGAACGCCTGTTAGCAGGCTATACTGGAAATAAATACTGTGAATTATCCACTAAATCGTTGTACGCAATTCTTTAGAATGAACAAAATTGCCTGATGCATCGTGACACCATTATGAACCAGATAAAAAGCGATGTGATGCTCAAAGTAGCCAGTCACGTGATACTCACAATACGTCTTGCGCCGATCTCCGTATAGGTTAACCACRGACCCTCAAGAACTGCATACGATACACTGAAAGTCTTGATAAACTCGTCATTGTTTGGATTCCCTTGTATTGCTATTGACTTGATCATCTTGACGAGCCCTAGGTCTACTGCAAGGTGCTGGTCAGCGTTAGATAAACTAGCACACCAAGCATGCGTATTGTGGAGTAAGGCTTGTTGAGGTCCAAAACTTGCAGAGGYATTTCTTGATGTGGTTGACGTTAAGGTTGCATTACCAGACATYACAAGTGGCWCATTACAATCTAATGATGTAGTTTGAATTTCAAAAATAAATATCCCTTTCTTCAGATGATGTGCCTGTCTGTCRGCACTATATGTGTGTTTGAAAATGTTTTATGACATTGGCTTATGAAGCACACTCAAGAAAAATTAGTAAAATAAATAAATAAATCTGCTGTTTTGTGTCTAGTATTCCTTATGATATAAAAACTGTGACAGCTGGAGTACACTCGAAAAAGCAAGAAAACTGAATTAATAGGCCATATGCATCATGGCGTCATTTACTACAACTACCAGACCAGAATGCTTTGCCAACTTTCTTTTGTAATGCAATTAGTGACAATTGTTTTATTAATCTCCAAGGGGATTAAAAATCTGAATAACAATGAAAATGCGCAAGGCTCTCTGGTAGTTAAGTTACGTCATAATGCAAACGGTATATTCTCGAAGGTAGAAGAAAGGACATTTTAGCGCCATTTACGTTAATAATTAAACTACAATTGTAGCACTGAGTATATACATACCTTCGTCCATTGCGGTAACATGCATTTTAAGAAGGGACAGGAACTACAAAGGAATATAAAAATACGTTCTTTTCTATATCCAAACCAACAGCGCAATCATTCTTTCATGCATGTTGTTATGGCGACTCGACTGCATGGCTTTGACGCACCGTCTATGTTTGATCACGAAATGCGTCTCGGCAATATTATCAATGATCAAGAAATTTTCTTCAACTAAATAAAGAAAAAAAGTTTCTTTTTGCATTAATATCAWCTTGACGATTGGCGATTACTAAAAACTAAATTTTGATGAGATAAAGAAGGTTGAAAGTAAATTTCAAGTTGTATTCATTTGTTTTCTTGAGTTCTATGAGAGCGCTTTTGAATTGAAACCTTATTCAAAGGTTGCAGAGAAAGCTTTCATCGAGCATACTCCTTAATTTGTCGTGTGCAAAAATTGAGCGGAATCAAGCCGTACAGTTTTGGAGTTTCGGTGTTGTTGGTTGTGATMCGAATTTTCAACTTGGACACTGATAATATTTACCGATCGAGACGCATTTCGTGAGGAAACATGGACGGTGAGCCAAAAGCATTATCCAGTCTGAACTGCCTTTAAAAGGTGCCTTCCTTGTTACAAACAAATTGTAATAAAACATAATTSATGTAATCGAGGGGAGAACTAACTGCCATTGATTATCATTTCTTATATTATTCATACKAACAAGGCATTATGATGTGCACCTGGTCTTTCTTTTTCAAAAAAAAACAACAAACAAACTCTTCTCCAAGCCAAGTAAAGATGATATAGTCAGGATTCTGTTTGCGTCATTATTGGTAAACCAAACTGACAAAATTAACAAGCTATATTTTAAGATAACTTTTGGCTTTCTTACTTTGATTATTGTAGTTCTTCTATTTCTACATAATATATACGGTCTTAAGAATTTAATGAAAGAAAGCCTTTTAAAAACAACAATAAAATAACAAAACAAAACAAAACGAAACAAAAAAAAACAAAAGCTTTATAAATATATATCTGAACGTGAAACAAAATTAAAGATAATAAATAGCCCAGGTTATTTAGAGTACTGTCCGCTCTTCATGCAGAGATGATGAATGCTAAACTATAAGATGGTTTCTCTAATTGGCGGTTATTCACGTAGTTAACGACTAAAAATGTGCTTAACTGATAATTCCATAAAATTAGACGAAGAATAAACATTATGAATTAAATCAACATTGTTGGAATAAGTTTTTAACRTACTTGAATGAGCGCAACTATAGATATCCCCATTATTGCATACAGTCGCGTCTCTTCTTCTGGGATAGTGAGCTCATTGAGTTGTCAACAGAGGGTTGCAGGATTTGCAGATTTAATGCAAATCGGATTAATATGAATCATTAATGACAGCAACACACACTCACTATGGTTCATTACAAAAATTATAATTAAAATTAAAATTACAATTTTGGTATGTTTTTTTTTGTAGATTAAAAACAGTTGTTTATTGCCTAATTATTGCATTTTTTGATATCTTTACGGAAATTCAGAATGCTGAAAAGAGGTCATCGACTTCTCCCGTGGTTTTAGTGGACTCGGCGATGTTTTAAAATCAGAAAGTCTGAGTACTGAATGTAAAATTATACTATGTGTTGAGACTGATATAGAGGATATTTACGTGGGCGCGCGGATGATATAACGGATTTTATCTTCGAGAGTTGAAAAGATCTCTCACGAGTCTACTTCTCAACACGAGAAGATAAAATTCGTATCTCCGAGAGAACACGTAATATTCTGTTTATCATATAATTATATGTGAAAGCAAATTTTGTCCTAAATACCTTTTTTTACAACCAATATATAGAGAAACCTCGAATGTGTTATTTTCACTGAAGAAAACTGATAAAAACTTTTCGAAAGAGAGAAATGTAGGRATTTCATAGATAATCATATTATAATCTCAGTTAATACTTCAAAATTAAGAACAAGCTTTAATTCAACTTTCGATATTTTGGTCWAATAGTCATGCAGAAAGAACTGAACCGAAGACAAAGCTCTGAGGAAAGAACGAAATTTTCTATTGCTTCCACTGCTCTATGGCATGTTATGGATCTCATGGGAATGGTTGAAAACGATTAATAATTTACCACGAACATCTCGAAAATGAGCTATTTCGATAAGTCTTATCCACGACAGCCGCGRGCCATGATGTTTTTATATTGCAATGCAAGAAGTTAGCCACATGTCCTCCAAKGGGTAAATTTTGATATATCAGAGGGTTATTACACATTTATACTTTTATTTGTGTGTGTACATTAATATTTATCAGATGAATATAATGGAATTAAGAAATTTTAAAAATCTATCAGTTCCAGGACTACCAAACTTAAAGATATCGTTTGTTACCTTGACACAATATTTTATGCAAGAGTGAATGGATAGAGCTTTTCGATGGCTCATAATTTACCGTTTCTGCTAAAGTTTTTTTRTCTTGGAAGACTGAATGGGTATAATTTGCATTACAATATGAAAGTCATCATGGCGACTATCATGAATAAGGCCTATAGCTGCAGCGCAAATCACAATTACCTCAGGAATATGTACTTATAAAGAAATGACTTCAGRTGACATGCTATAAAGCTTTTAAAGACCGTGATTTTGAATATATACTTGCTTAATTTATTTAATTGTAACGTTTTGATCAAATTTGCAAGTAAAAATGTACTTACTGATGACGATTAATCTAGCGTCTGATTGGTCAATAAGCAAAAAAGCATTCCCGAAATATTTCTTGYCGATCACGGTTTCGATCCGATTCGAACTGTAACATAATGCATCATTAGAAAACAAGAAATTGGTCAGGAGATTCTCTTTCATCTTTCTTTTAAAAATCGCATTTATTTTATTTTGTCATACAATTCTGTTGTATCTTATTATATATATTTTGCTATTTAGTGAAATTCAAGCGTGTATCGAACATTTATAAAACGAATGTACATTAATTATATGTATAAAATATGTGCATTAATGACATAATTCATATTGTAATAAATATAATCTTTATCTTTTGATTCATCGGACAGTGTCAAGCAGTAASTGAGCGTCAGCACACSACTGTTARGCACACCACCTGGTTCACCACCCATTGTAGGACGCCATTGACTTTGTAAAATCCTGTGCGCTTCTTGCAAATTTTGGAGCCGCAATCTTGTGATCGCCGACGTCGCTTCTTGCCTAAAACAAAGTAATTAGTTGATGAGACATTGTAATTTTGTTTCAATATAAAACAGTTTTGCCCCAACCCATGGGAAAACCGGCCTTGAGACTAGCTCTTTGCGTGTTCATCCGGTTACGCTGGTGCTTTGCCACTAAATATAATTATACAAGTATATAAATAGTAGAAATCAATTTGCAAGTTGTGTGGCTTTTTCTTCATTTTATACTAATTATATATATAATTGTATGTATCAATGGTGTTTGTTATTTCATACGTCTTTTCCAGCCTCGGGCTCTAATAATAGCCTGCCGACAGGACTGAGAAATTTTACTGGGCTGTCAAAAACTGTGAATYAAAAACTTTTCTTTCACTTTACTRTTTCTTTCTTCCAGTCAGATATAATTTACAGAAATTTACTGTATCAACTTACCAGTAAGTACTTGTGTGGAGGTCTCTGAAGCCTTCTGGACCCAGTAKATTGCACTACGAGAGCACAGATTGGCCATTTTCTTGCTCAGTGCAGATCGCAGATTAAAACTCTTTTGAATAGTCCAGATGGTTGTGATGGATTTTGATGTTGAAGAGCTGACCAACTTTGATTTCTGTAATTCGGATAAAAAAGTTTTATAATTAAGGTTGAATACGTGAATAACTTTTATGGCTGTATGGTAATACCATAATACATTGATTGATAAGTCGAGTGGGTTTGTGCTGCCGCAGCGTAGCGAGCCTGAGCGAGCGAAGCGTAGGCAGCAACTCTAATCTGGAGAAGGGCAAAATTTCTCGATTTTATCCCAGGATGCAGTACGTTTTCATTAACCGTCTTCCTTTGCGCCACTATAAAAGGGTGAACAGTCCCGGATGTTCTTTCTCCCTTGTGTTTACATTAGCTTGTGTTCTTGAGGTGAGTCGAGNATTCCCATACAACACGGCCGCTCATGTTGTAAACTATACTTAAAGTCATTCATTGTTAGAGCATCATACCCGTTCCCTTCGACTATTCGGTAACTATCTACGTTGTTTGGCACTACTGTATCTTGCAGTAGCTGTTGGCAAAAGAAAATTAAAATTAAAATTGATATTAAGATAATCAGTACTCCTTGTGAATCAAATTAAAATGATATTGAATATATGAACTAATACAAGTAAATAATATAACAAAGAACTGCAAATTTTCTTTACCTTAGATTTCATTCCTTGAATCATTTGAGGAACYGGACTTGAGTAACAGAGAAAGGGAGTAAATAGCAGAACAACAACTGCAATCTTGATAACAACCTAATCAAGACAGAAAACAAGAAAGAACTGAATTGAATGCAGCGTAAAACTCACAATACAACAAACTTGCTTGATCGGGCAAGTATACCGTTGACAGTACAGAGGTACAAGAGATGCAACTTCTTAGAATTGATTTTAGAGCAATAGTGTAAAAGCATTCTGCCAACAAACATTTGAAACTTACCATTTTCTTTATGCAGTTTTAGCCTGTACTATTAAAGTTTTAGCCTGTATACTACTAAACGTAGTCTTCAATGATTTGTCTCTTTGTGATTTGTACCGAGTGCTTTGTTCTTTTATACTTACTGCCGATCTAACGTTGTCCAACCATTTTACTCTCCTCATGACGTCATTTACGTTTCACTAGCCATTTCTCTTCTGAAAATACCAGGGGAACCCCCTCATTTCCACGTTACATAGTTTCTAGACCTCCTAAGCAATTAAGAAAGCGGAAGAGGCCTCCAAAAGGATGCGAAACCTAAGAGATCTTTWCAGAACCCTGTCTAATACCCACGTGTTTCTACGTTTGTTCAGATATCCCGCGCTTTACGGGATTCCCAAAATACTCTAAGTGTATGGAATGTTTGTTTTCTGATGTGAGTTTTGCGATGGCGAGTTGTAGCTAATCATCAAGTTTAACAAATATTGACAAAACCCGATTTTCAATCGTCGACGCAATATCTATGAGCAGACTGTCATATGCAAAACCGTCTCATTTCATTGCTTTGCTTTGTTTATTTACGACCGGAAAAAGTACAGGCTTTTTTAGTAACGCTTCAGTTAGTTAGTTAAATAAAATTATATAAAAAMTTATATAATAAAGTGTATTACTATTTTTACTATACAAAGGAAAGGTGGGAGATCAAATCTTCAAGAGCAAATGAAATCAATCTATTTTTATGACTACCAAAACAAAGATTCGAAGGGTAAGCATAGCATTGATCAGGATAGATTTATTTATCTTACTCTATATTTTATTCAAATGTTAAACATCGAAACATAAAATGTGAACAGAGAAAAATAATGCTGAAATGTTGTGGTTTAATACAAGTTATAGCGCGTTACATGATGGGGTATTTTGTTTTTAAATATTTTTCTTTCTAGTTAGTTAGTTTTAAGAACACGAAATGGATCATCTAAGAGTTCTAAGCCGATCGTCACAAATAATGAAGCCAAACATCACAGTCAAACACCAAACGGATTCTTACAGAAGRCGAAAACTGTTTTATAAAAGTTATAAAAAGAAACAAGCTCATTTGCAATAACAAAATCAGCAGTAATAAAAGATAAAATAAATAAATGAATAAAAAATAGAATAAACGAAAAATCGTTATCATTTTGAATTATTTACTCATAATAGCTGCCAGAGTCCGGTGATACTAAGCCCAGTGTGAACAGTMAGTGCGATGGAACAGTAAAATTAAGATACCTTAATTGAACAGGAGCCAAGATAGTAGAACCAAGAGATCATGTAATGTTCCATTTATTGTATAAAAAATGTATATATATAATTAACAAATTAGCAAATTTTCAAAAGTTCTTTACTTAAAAATGAAAGTCGAGTGTCTTGACAATTTAGACCGAAAAAATGATGATACACCAGTAAAATGAGAAATCAATTCAGTTAATCCCCTCTCGCTAGCAAAAGCTTGAAAGTTCCATTGGCTTGGCTGACTATATATATTTCTAAAATACTTAGGATACTACGCGCACTGTGATTGGTCGAAAACCATGTTTGATTACAGTATCAAAACACGCTCGTGCGCGTCAAAAATTTCTTTTATTCTTTTAATTTTAAAAAAGAAACAAAAGACGAAATTCCGTGTTTGATACTCTGATCAAAACACTTGGGATGTAGGGAGAGCACTCGAAAAGCTGGAAACCACTCCGCTACGCGTCGTGGTTTCCTACGCTTCTCTCGTGCTCTCCCTACATCCCGCGTGTTTTGATCAGAGTATCAAACACGGAATTTCGTCTTTTATTCCTTAAATATGATATATGATATACTATAACCATGCCAACAGAGCGATATATTCACATGTGAAAGATATGATGCCTTCCCGCGTGAAAGATCAAGCTTTTATTAAAAGAAACTGATATTTCATCGCAAATATAGCATATCGCATGGACGCGKGGAGATACGGATTTTTAACTTCGATTGTCGAAAAGATTTCAGAACCAGAGAGAGATCAATTAACACGAGACCATTAAATCCGCATGATCCAAGCGATCATGTAATATTCTGTTTATTATATTATCATTTATGAAAGCATATTATATCGTAAAATAACTTTTATTMAAATCCATTATATAGAGAAACCACAAATGCATTTCACTAGTGAAAATATAAACTTTTTCGAAAGAGATGATTATGATAGAAGGGTTTATTCGGTGTATAGCACTATTTTGATTTTCACTCGCCCATGAAATATCGTCTAAATCCAATGGATAAAATCCATGCGCTCAAAACCTTTGTATTTCTTCTGTGGATTACTTCATCAACTATTTTAAAGCCATTCCATTAGTTAGGCSTTGTAGTTTCACGCCGATTACCAGTCAATATTTCTCGACGGAATAGCTATCGTAGCACCTGTCACACCAAAATTGATCACTCGTCTCGATTAACGTTTTTCTGTTTCTCTTAWATATTAATAGCTTACTCTTTATATTTTAATTTTTCATAGAAAATTTACTTCTATGGATTTATATGCTACCATGTTAAATGCCAAGGATGGTATTTTCAACCCTGTACCTCACGATAAACTACAGCAGTGATATTCGTTTGATGTTTTAGATTACGATGTGAACTTATTAACAGGAAAAAACCTTGTTTTCAAATAAATACTGAGTGTTAAATAATTTTCTTAAAGACGAATTATGAAACAAAAGAACTGAATTGTTGGTATTGAATATTGAGTTACTTAACGCTCATTTTCTTCTGACATTTTTATCATTTGTAAAAAGTATAAAACAACTTCATTTCAACTGCTGGATTTCCCTATATCAAAGCCTTAAAGCTAAAGCATTCCTCTTAAAAAAAAAAAGATATGTCAACATTAACATTCTTGTGAGATACGTGACAGTTTGGTTCAAGCCTTCCTGTCTTTCTTGGATTAAACTGATCCCTCTGATTCCGCCAGAAAAAAGGKTGTGCATACAACTCCCGACATTATCCATTTTCAATTTTTAACTAGAGAAAATTCAAAATCTCTAGAGAAGTCCGAATAACAGGTTTCCACGAAATTAGTGCGTGTTCGTGGAAATTAAAGGGTTAAATTCGGGATTCTGTTTATTTTAAGAGTTTCTTAAAAGTTTTAAGTAGCCAAAAATTAAAAATTTCTTGAGTTTTTTTATGTTAAAACTTTTTYCCACACCCACTTCCGRAAGACTTCGGTATKTTTTAGGGTTAGATAATAATCCTCTCGTTCCTATARAAATCAGTATGGAGCAGTACAAATTCGGTATTACCAGGCAGTATAAAGTTTTGAATGACAGTATTGTCCGTAGCGGGCCAATTAGCTTTGGGCACCCTGTGYATACGATGAGCTTGATTCCGTCAAAATTTCTTAATTTGACCGCCGATTTAAAACTGTTCATTCGATTATATATTGCATTGACCTACTAACTGGAACATTGAAATAATACTATACATTTCTGACGTAAAAGCGCAAATCGTCTGTGTTACATATATCCCCTTATACTGATGACAATACATTGCCTCGCTTACCTTTGATCTCAACGCACATAAGCATCAGTATTCTCTCATAATAGAGTTATGAGTGAAAGTCATATTTTAAAAACACATTTTACGTCATTTCTTAACTAAACCAAAGAGAGGCGAGACAAAACGAAAAACAAAAAGTACGTAAAAAAATAACAATTATGATGAAAAATAATAATAATGAAAAATGATTTGGGAAAGCGGTATACGGCGTACGGAAGATACCTCTTTTTATCTTCTTTTTGCTAAACTCTGTTTATTTTGAGATTTCCCTTTGTTTTCATATTTTTTTCGAGTTGAACATCTTGATCTTATCATAAACATTTTAACCTCACAAACATTTCAGATACTTATTAGCGTAGTCATTCAGTTTATTTATGACGTTCAAATTTGATTAGTTTTTTTTACACAATTGCTGTYGTGACTTTCATATATATGTTACATATACATTCCTTTTATTTCTATAAAAGTCATAAAAGAGCTGTTTTGATATTTTCATAGAAAACGTAATTGTAATATACAGCAATAGACTGATACAGTCTATGACATTTGTCATTTATCTCATTCTCAGCAATTAGTTATTGTTATGCAGATCAGCTGGTTGTTCACCCACTGTCGAACGCCATTGACTTCGAAAAATCCTGTGCGCTTCTTGCAAATTTTGGAGCCACAATCTTGTGATCGTCGGCTTCGCTTGTTTCCTAGAACGATAGCAGTATTATTTGAATAAATATTCCTGTGTTGATCACAAAGAAAACATGAACGATGTCCGAAGTTTTGCCGCTCTTTTAGGAAGAGGAAAAAACTCGGTATGCAATATTATTTTAGCGAAAGATTTAGATCCTAAAAAAGATATATACAAAAATGAAAATGATACAATATATCTTAACTTACCAGTATCAAGCAGTTGTGTGGTGGTCTCTGCAGTTTTGTTAACCCAGTATATTGCACTACGAGAGCACAGATTGGCCATTTTCTTACTTAGAACAGATCGAAGATTAAACGTGTTTTGAACGGTCCAGATAGTTATGGTTTTTGATGCTGAAGAGCTGACCACTTTTGATTTCTGCATGATAAGAAAAAGACATGATTAAAGACATATTTCAAATCAGGAAAATTATCATTTCTTTGAGGATTTTATTCAAAATAAAGTCTTCTGTGTCTCGTACTTACAAGAGTTGGTGTTGTTTCTAGTCGAGACAAATAGCAAACATTTTCGGCTCTGATGTAAATCACAGACAGCTTCTAAATTATAAAAGTTGTGTTAATTCAAAGAGTTAAGATACTTTTCATTTTAAACACTACTAGTTGTAGAATGATTTACTAAACGGAAGTCAATAATGTTTAATACTAACCCTTTTTAAGTCGTCCATTGTCACTGCATCCTTGTAATTCCTTCCTACCACGTAACCACGTGCGTGGTCCATTGAGTTGATATCGGATGATACAGTTGACTTCACTGATTGAAGCTGCTATTGGAGATAAAAATAAAAGATTTCACTGACAAGTTTAAGGAACTAAAGTTAGTCACCCTGAACTGAATAATTCGCAATTGTGATAAAATAGTAATATATAAAATGATAAAATACATCTTTCAACTAATTTTCCAGCTTGCATGAATTGGTTTTTAATTTAATTTTGCTCCTACACAGTTATAAACTGGTATTCAGTGATCGATCTCCAACACATATATATATATCAATTTATAAAGTACAACATTACAAAGATCCCCAAAATGTCTATATGTGATGACTTTCTTTTGCAAACTCTTATTTTTTTGTGAGTAGTATGAGGTCCCCTTTTTGGTCCAAATCTCGTTTGTGACGAGCAACATTTAGTTGCCACTTTGCAAGAGCACATCAAGTCTTGACATGACGCCGAACTTTAATGATAAACGAGAAGAAAGTAGCAAAGCATACTACTTACGAAACATGAGTATATACTAACATAAAGCTTAATGTCAATATTGACTACCGTAACTAAGATACAGACGTCTTAGAAGCTTTGCTCAAGCTTCAAATGAAGTCTTCGAGAAAACAATATGCATGACGTGATGTCAAGATCTCCAGAGCATGATTTTTTGATTCATTCGATCGAATCATAATAATATCAATCATTTACCTTCGGATGATCTTCGGATCTTACGTTCGTTGGCGCCGAGCTTGTATAATAGAATAGAGAAATGAACAAAAGAGCAAGAAATTTAATACCAGTCTAAAAAAGAAGAAATAACGGATTAATAATGGTAAAAAATAGAAGCAAATAGTTGAAAGTTCAAATAATATAAAACTGATTTAAGTGTGGAATATCTTCATATTAATAACATTTACAATAAGTTGCATTCGTTGATACACTTAATATTGCACTACCTAGTTTGAATTTTCTTCCACACTACTACATTTCAGTACGTACTACAACAATATCCTAGTAAATACTTGAAAGCTTCACGACCGACTTGAAAAAGTTTAAGCAAAGAAAAGCAAAAGACTCCCAATATCTTACCATTTTTGTCTTGTAATTTTCAGTGCAGATTTTCGATCTATTGTTGTTTGTTTTTGTCTTGTAGTCTTCAGTGTTCAATGAACTTCTGACAAAATATTGCACTTTCTCTTCTTTTGTACTTTTCAGCGATGTTACTATTTTAAGATTTCCCAGTGATTTGATCGTGACGTCATCGCATTTCAGTATTTCATTCTTTGATCGCCGTAGCCCTGGGGATTCCCCATATGTGTGTCTTACACATTGTTTGTAGATCTTGTAAACGATGAAGACTGCGGAACTACTCCTGAAGGATGCGAAACCTTAAAGCACTTTTCAGAAATTTACCCAGCCTCCACCCGATTAGGTCTGTTCCGCACTTTACATTACAGCAAAACCAAAGTGATGGACTGAAATAACTATCTTAGGTGTTTGGAAATTGTTTCCAGTTAATCAGTTTGTTCTAACGCTTTTAGGTTACTTTATTCATTGATCTTTTTTTAATGACAGAGGGAAAAAAATTGGTCTTCCTGAACTAAAACGACGAATTTTCTGATAATATTGACGATAAAACATGAGGGGTAGGACATAACGTTGATAGAAAAGTGGATAGTATATCTATCAACATTAAACTTCCGGCACGTGCTGGAGGTCATTCAAATGATTACCAGACAATGCAACAAATCCGAGATTTGGCATTTAAAAGTATRAATTGACAGGAGCCTAAGTGCTTCCTATCACACTCAACAAAAAATCTATTTTATTGGACAGTTATAGATTTCTAATTAAAACTATTTTTATTGGTTAACCTGTTAAATGAATGGCTCTAAATAAAGGTGATTTTGCTTATCAATTAGCCCCGCGAAAAGCTTGAATTGAACGGCAAGTACCAACATGCAATTAACAACCTATTTTTTCCGTTAGTATTTTTTTTTTCATTATTTTTCTATCTTGTCTTGTTTTGTCTTAAATATATAATATATAATTGAATATAATCTCTCATTCTTTTCTACTTTTCTACATTCTTTTCAATGTTTCGTCGAATATCAGGGAATTGCCTGGGAATATCGTGTTTTTATCATCTTATCAACACTTGGTAGTATGATAACCCTCGTACGATGCTCAGATTACTCCAACGTCTCCCAACGACAACATAGCCCCATATGCCGTCATCATAAAAGCATGTGCTCCTTTTTTCAGGGTCACTTGGGGTCAAAGAAGTCTGTAATGTTAGTAAAAAAGTGCAAAAATCATCCCACTGAAAAAAAATATATTAGAATTTCCTATGCAAAATATTCCTTTTGCACTGATAACTATGCATACAGGTCTAAATTCTTTTCGAATCAAGTTAAAATAACATATAGACTTTCTTTTATTATTGCATCAAGAATGACGTTATGTCCAAAGCATGAATCGTGCGTAAAAATCTGTATTGAACAGTTGTTTGTTTTTGTAAACAAGTGGTTGCTATAGTTTCAAGAGAATACGTTCCCTCACGTCTGATTCTTTATTCTTGTGTGGTCCAGAATCATTGTCGTTGCTGGTTTCTAGTCTCGCGCCGAGAGATCATCCCCTCAGTATTCATCGTTCACCAGGAGCAGCGTTCATAAGTTATTGAGGTCTCCTGATTTGAATTCCTTCATCTGGTGTCGTGGTCTTAGGTTGTTAAAATATTTTTTATCAATGCTATTGGTACTATTTATCTAAAGTTTTTTACTTAGAATCTTCCTGCGAACCTAAAAATCTATTTGTGCAAATGACGTTGTTGCTGTCTTTATTTCTTTATATTAAATGAAGAACATTAATATGAAATGTTTGTTTTTACTATGCTTTAATAGAAAAGGATGAAAAATTCAATAGATTTTGGAATTAGAAGGGATTAAAAAGTTGCTTTTCAGTCTTAATTTATTTATTTTTTGTTTGTTTGTTGTTTTTTTTTTGCCTCTTTAAAATGAGCTGTCGTAGTGACCGCAGTGTGTAACGTATTTATTTGCCAAGTACATATCTATCGTTTCAAAACTTGTTCTTGAAAGAATCAACCACCAAAAGCTTGCTTGATTTAAAGCTTTATCGCAAGGTGAAAATCAGCTTTGTTTAGAGAATAGCTAGTGAGTCTAGTGAATTGAGGCGAATCTTCTATCGTGAAACGATGTGCGATTATTTTGGCTACAAGGCTTTCTGGAATTGCCGGAAGTCATTATGTGGTATTTAATGTACAAAAGTACAAAAGCCGATTACTCAAAAACTCTTTTAAAAAACCGCATTTTCAAATCTCGAAAAAAATATATTTTGCTTCCAAAACTATCTAGTGTATTCTAGGATGCAATAAAGTATATTTGGACAGAATTTGAGCAAAATCAATTTAATTTTCAGTCCCGCGTGTAAGCAATGTGCTAAGATGACTCATAGCATTTAGTAAACATTGTTGTTTTCTGTTAAAATTTATTCTAAAGCCACTCTTCCGAGAAAAGCTCTTCAAAACGTTCTTTCCTGTAAAAGCACGTAACACACACACAGGGCAACAGCACAGTCCTTTTGGTGTGGTCATAATAGAACAGAGAAGGCGGAAGGTATGACGTTTAGCTCATTGACACCAAAAATACTCTTTACTATAAACAATGCAATCTAATAAAAAATGTAATTATAAGTTCAGTAGTTTTATTCAAACTTGTATTTAGGCTGTCTAAAAATATGTTTGGCTAGCTAAATTGACAAGAAGAACAAGAAACTTTGTGCCAGTTTTGCGTGCACAAAAAGTCCGAAATGGACTTCCTGTCCAGAAAGTTGGTCCGGTTTTTTTGAAATCTGGCGAACACGTCAATGATGTCATTCATGATACTCGTTTATTAATGTATGTATTTTTATTACCTCATGCCATCGATATTCTAATAAATTCCTGTACATGCTAAGATTATTTTAAGAAAATACCCCGATTTCTGTCTAGTTTAAGGGGCAGACCACGAATGACGTCTGTGAAGGATTAGATCGGTGTTACTTCTGTTAATGTTACTCATCTTAAAGCGATGCGATTAGAATGATAAAACAATTTTTTGATCAAGTATAGTTATATCATTATCAAGGTCTAAACCGCTTTCTTTTCAACCGATATTGCTTATGTACTTTTAGAGTACAAACATTAAATGTGTGCAACACTCAATACCACTATTTATTACAAAATAGTGTTAGTTAACAATACAAAACAATAGAATTAACAGTATTTAGCAGTATTTAGTGGTATTTATGTTGCACAGTTTTAGTTGTTCTCTATCATGTTTTGTTATTTAGAAACTATCAACACTATTTACTATTTTGAATTGGTATATGTTGTTCTTAAATAGAATAATGATAATAATAATGATAATGACAAAAATACATCAGTAAAGAATTTTGCTGTTGTGAGAAATCTATTAAGAATATCTATTTTAAGAGACAGTTTCATCGTGCTAATCTGTTGCAGGCATACAGAGTGTAAACCTCTACTAGCTACTACGTCACTAAAATGATCGAAAGTGACTCGGATTTATCAAACTAATGTTATCGCATTTTTTTAGACTTTAGTTTTACACTTTCATCGGTCTCCGCTTAAAATTAAGCTATTTACTATATAAGTTGCAATAAGTATCAGTCTGTTGTCGAAATGATAACTATAACTTAATCATGTCAGTAATCTCATGAATCATCGTTTAAGATTTTTGACTTACAATAGTGTAAAAGAATTAAAGGATCTTGGGACTCAAATATTTGTATGCTAAATAAACAAATTAGTTTTCGAGTGTATTTTCGATTGTCAAATGTGTTGTATGTGAATTAAAACATACCCAAAAAGGTAAATCACTCCACACCTGACGGCCGTGATTGCTCGTGTTCTCCTAACGATCCCAACACCATCCCGTACGGTTTATTTCGCCAGTAAACCGCTTCAAGCTAGTAATCATTTATTTCGAGCTCATTGCTTAAATCAACATTCGTCAAACTATATACATTTCGTGTTCAGGACATAACACGAATAACTAAAAAAGAATATAAAAAAAAGTTTGTTTAAAAAACTTTAAAAATATCGATATGCCAAAGCGCTTAATAAAAGAGTTCGCGGGTATTTTTGACGGTTAGCTCTTTTGGTAGGTATGCCCTTCAAGCCAGTATGTGATTGTGAAGTGGTCTTGTGACCTTTTCTTAAATTGACTTTATTTCAATCAATTTTCGTTTGAGAATATTATGGAAAACATTGAAGAAAATGTTTGCGAAAATTAAAAAATCGGTAAAAAATTATAAAAATTTTACGGCACTCTCAAACTTTTGAAATATTGAGCTTGGAAAAGAGATATGGACATAAGTTTGTGATAAGTTGAAAGAAAGAAAAAAACAGCATTTATCAAATATAATATATCTTTTTTACTTTTGGCCCTTTTTTTGTTCGCTTACTTTTGTTGTTGTTTTTCGCTATGATGGAATTGAGTAAACTTCTTAAGCGTCAAACAAAATTTGCTTTTACTGAAAATGATATTCTTTGTTTTTAAGTAATRATCGTTGCATGTTCGCTTAGAGAAACAGATTTCGTCGTGATAAAAACCTCGCTCTCTCGCAGCTCACTCTCGAGATATCATTTCAACGCTACAAGATGAAATCTGCATATTCGAGTCTGAACATTACAAAACTGTCAGCTTTCAGAGATGACACTTTTTACATTGCTTAATGTATTGTTTATTAGCACTAAAAATCACTACACATTTACATAAATTCATCTCAAATTATGAACCGCATTTCCTTTAAAAACGATATTGTTGTCATTTGTGTACACAGTACAACATTTCTCTACTTGTAAATAAGATGTATGAGTAATGATCGTTTCAAGAGAATCGGATTCTCGAGAAATCATGGAACACAGCGAAATTGAATTTCCAAGTTCAGAGTGCACATGCGCATTAGTAAATGCTTTTGTCTCCTTATCAAAGGTAACGCCAGAACTTTAGATATAGTCTTCCTCCTGAAAAGAAAAACAAATAAAGTTGCAACTTTCATATTTCATTGTCAGTGCGATGAGTAGATATATAGATTGGTTCGGCATAAGCCTACGTGATCGTCCGTTCTGGAAATTAATCGAGCCTAAGCCTATCTCTAACCAATGTAGCATGCTTTTAACCCTTGACAATCACGTCTCCTCTTCCCTGGGTTTTCACGCCAGAGAATCAGCAAAAGTAACCTCCTTGATACTTATGTTACTAGGGGGGAGGGAATTATGTTGGTGGAGAGAACGACCCTCAACGCTATTTAATAGTTAAATCAGTATGGTCTAGATAAAGAAACACTACTTAAGGTCGCATCATGGCTGCTCACAGGCCAACCTCGTTCCAAAGCCCTTTATCCATTCGCTTGGGGTCAGGCGGTCTTTACCCGCGAAAGGATAAAGGGCCTGGGAACGAGGTTGCTCACAGGCATGTCAGGAGCCATAATAACCAGTAGGTTATGACTGTTTTTTATTTGTAACCTCATGCTTACCTGTAGCAATTTAACATATGACCAGCACGCATCTTGTTTTTTGAACTCTCACAGTGTGGAATGATGGTTCAAATACATACTTCGTGTAATAAAACGTTGTACAGATTTGAGAGTAGCACGCGTACTGCGACCCATCTCGTTTGTGGTTTGCTATGACAATACACAATCAATTAATCCATCATTGAACAAACCAAGCAACCAAGCAACCAAGCCGGCAACCAAAAAAACAAGCAACCAACCAACCAACCAACCAACCAACCAACCAACCAACCAACCAACCAACCAACCAACCAACCAACCAACCAACCAACCAACCAACCAACCAACCAACCAACCAACCAACCAACCAACCGACCAACCAACCGACCAACCA